GAGAGGCTTCAAGGAGAAGCTTGCCTTGATCTCAAGAGTTGCAAGAGCGGTCTAATGACTAATAATGAACACAGATCCTAAACAGAGCTCTGTAGGTTTTAATGGCGCATCAACCGCCGCTATTTTTCGAATTCATTTATTTTCTTTCCTTTCCACTCGGCTAATAACAAGAAATGTGTATTTCACTTAGCTGATCAATCCAAGCACGCAGCTGATGATAGGGGCTTTGCGTGCGTGTTTATCAGACAGGCAGCAACTCTGGCAAGGGTTTGTTGTTTCCAGTGGCACCCATCATTTGGATCGAAGTATCTTAAAAGCAATCCATATTTTGATGTGGCTACTGCTTAGGATCTGAAATGTTTGACGTCCCAAAATGACGGGTTAGGGTTGTGGTGTACATTCATCGCTGAAAGTTTTGGCGGAGCTGGATAGGAAACATCTCGAGACTGAACTCCAAAAGCTCTATCAGTGAAGCATGCATCAAAAGTGCAAAAGAATCACACGAGATCTGCAGTAGGGAGAGTATGGTAGTTGACCGTCAGCTCTGAATGTAGACAATGATAGTTGCAAAAGTAGATGACATCAGATTTTCTCTGAAAAAGAGTAGTTGTTTTTGATTTTGGCTGCAGCAAGTTTAAGCATGGTAGAAATAAGTGTTAAAGAGCCACTTCCAGGTACAGACACCTGTGAATAAAATCTGTAGGAAATGATGAATACACTAGATTTTCAAAAAAATAGTACAGAAATATAAACTAACAGGTGAAATCTGGACGTCGTTTTTGTAAGAAATGTTTCACTTCCGCATAAAAAGACCTCGGCACGTGACCCTCCCGCGTGTGACCGTAACACGGGGGGAACACAAGGGGGAGAGCGGCGGTTGTAAGTATTAAATAAACATGGATCCCAATGCAGTTCGACACAGAAGATACAGAAGAAACTTGAACATGAATATTCGAAATGCATATGACGGACCACAACCTTATAATTATGAGCCTGGCTAGGCGGTCCAAGAGACCAGGAGCAGCCAAGGATTAGAAAGAATAACGGCCATCGGAAGAAGAAATTGAGCTGTGGTGTGAGGAGAAACCAGTGGAGAACTGGTCAGCTGTCTTGGTGAGTGACCGCGTTAAGCTACAAGAATGTTAGCTAATCTCACATCCACAACATTGTAAAGTTAGGCTATCACTATATCAGGCTATAACTAAAAGTAGCATTGAATAATATAGT